TGTATCCCAATGGAAACGCGCAACAAAACGGCCCAAAGTAGTACATGTACCTTTTCAGGCGTGGGCCGTTTTGTAGCGCGTTAGGGACGGGCGGAAATACGCCAACATGGGAACGAGACCATTGAATACAATGGGATTTATATTTTTTAGCGTTTTGTAGAGCGTTTGTCGAGCGTAGAACGCGCTACAAAATGTTCAGGTGTGAACGAGGGCTTACTCTCTGTGATAGCTGTCACCAGGGCAAATCGAGAGAGTGACTTTCCCTCATGGGAACACACCGAGCAATAACAACCTGACCCTTCAACACCATCCAAAAGTTTGGGCTTCAGTTTCACTTTAACGTTATAGACGTGCAGATCATTCTCTTCATTCAGAGATGACCACTAACAGATCAATGGCAAACATGATCATCTCCCAGCCAAGAAAATCTGTACACTGCACTCATTACAATCTGATTGTACAATAGCTCTAACCAACTTGTATGTACATTACATAGATTTGGTACATCTAATCTTGATTGTACAAAGAGTGTGAGATCAGATTGTAATGTGTATGGGGTCTGCTGTGCAATCTCTGTACAATTAACTTTATATTTACCAAAACCTTGTAACATTGAGACCTACCTAATCTATTTGTATTCGATTAGGCGGCTCCTTGTACTACATACATATTGGCAGATCTAAAGCAGATTGTAAATTGTGTGATGAGTTCACTAGGAAGAGTTCCGAAGTAATAGGAAAACCTTCTCCTACAGCATTAACCACGTGTGGTTGCACATCACTCAGCATCCATAGCGAGAGCCTGTATCACTCAGATGCCCGTCATGAAGCCGACACAACAGCTGCCCTCCCCTTCCATTTTCTGGCTTTCTTCTGTCCCAACACAACATGGTCATGGCCCCTCCTACTCTCTCCAGGTTCTATCCCCCTCATTGACTGACCGCTAGCCCCGCCTACTACCTCCCCTCTGACACACGCAATGACACGCCCTCCGTACAGACAAGCTAGCTATCCAAACTCGCCTTTCTCATAGGATGCCAATGTCATTCCCGCCCCCATCAACCAGAGCCAGCCCTTCACCCGCCAAGAACCTCCCGTCACTCTGACTTCTCCGCTCAGGCACGTCCTATTCCACGCCTCTATGTGACGTCACCATGTTAAAGCAGCCACCTGAAATCTACAGCGGGCGTGTCATAAACAAGGAAGACTGACTGGTACACACCCTTAGCAATGGATGATCATGAGGAGAGAAGCGGTTCCGGGGCCCCACATGGCCGCTCCAGCCCGCCACCGCAGCCCAGCGATGCGACACCGGCCCGGCTCTTTCTGCAAAGCTTCTCCCGGAGCGCGCCCAGCCAGTTATCACTCACCCAGGGACTGCAGCTCCGCTTCGATCGGAACATCAAGCAAGCGTTCTACAACACGGGGGCGTTGCTCTTCGCAGCCGGCTGCTGTGGGGCTGCTATACTGGTGTACTTTATATTGGAGGCATTTCTGCGGCCACTGCTGTGGGCAGCGCTATGCGGCACCTTCCTGCATCCCTTCAAACACACTTTAACGGGTGCATGCCGTCGTTGGCTTTCCCGGATCCAGCGCCAGGGATCGCCCATTGTCCTGGCCACTCTGCTGTTACCAGTCAGCTTTGTCAACCACAGTCTGGAGGCCTTGGGGGAGCTGGTGGCTCGTAAACTGCCATTGCTGGCCGGGGCGCCTCTTCTCTATGTGCTGTACTGGGCTGGGAGCTACCTGGGGGTGCGGCACATAGTGGGCTACGTGTGCGGCCTGATCTGTGGGGGCCTGGACTACTTCAGCTCCCAGTGGGTGAGTGTTCCATGGAGCGCTGCTATCTTCTATGGCTTAGGAACACTTTCTTATCAGTGGGAATACAGACCTGGAGGTCACTCTCAGGAGTATTCATAGCTTTGCTTGTTGGACCTCAACTTTTTGGTCTGTCCTTTTGGTGTGCTGTTGCGTTGCCATGCAGCACCACAATGTGCATCGTGCTGGAAAAAGTAATGCATGCACTGCTTTTTGTCAGCGCAATGCACTGTATTGTGGTACTATTGCTGGAAAACACTCCTGCCAAAAAGTGTGTTGGGGTGCCATTCAAATAAATGCAATGTGCTGTGGAATAGAAAGTGTTAAATGCATGGATCCTGTGCATTTAGTGGAATGCTATGGTGTGAACAAGCCCTTAAAGTGGACCTTTTACCCCTTTCTCTAAAAGCATATCTGCATACAGCTCTGTGTGTTGATATAAAATCATCTTACATTCATTAGCTAAACAGTTATTTTACTTTTTTATTTTTTCTACTTTCTGGTCCTCGTTGACACAAATGATGGAATCGTGCCCAAGCATTGCATCCTGGGAAGTTAAAGTCAGCAAAGCATTGCTAGGAAATCTCATCTGTATGCCTCATTCACACGAGAATCGGCCAGCACGTACAGCTCCGTGCTGCATGCACGGGCGTATGGAGCAGCTCCCGGGAAGGACAGGTGCTGTGTCTGTTTAGTACGCAGCCCCTGTCCTTCTCTATGGGACTACACAGATGTATGCCACGCTACGCTCACCCGCCCTGCACGTCCGTGCGGGTGTCCATACTCGTAGGCTGACAGGATCGATCCTGTCTGCGTCCGAGCCGGGACACCTTTACGGACGTGCAGGAGGATCAGCATAGGGCGGCGTACGCCTGCGTAGTCCCGTAGAGAGGGACGGGCTGCGTAATAATCGCACGCTGCCCCTGTCCTTCCCGGGAGCTGCCCGGCTGATTCCTCGTGTGAATGAGGCCGTAATCTTATTAAATCTCAGGGAAAGGCATTTTCCTCCCCTGAGATGTGCATGGTCACATGTGCTAGAGTTCCAGGAAGGAAAGGGAGATCTAAAAACCCGCCGTTAGCAAAAATGGCCACTGTTAGAAGAATGGGGAGGAAAATAAAAAGTAGTTGTTTGTAGATTGTCATTACTAAACATTTCTAAAGGTGTGTTTTGTTTTTTCAAGATAAGGGTAAAGTTTCTCTTTAGAACATTGGTTCTCGACCTGTATAACCTCAGGACCCACATTTGGCCTTGGTCATTAAGACACGACCCAAGTTGCACCACACTGGAACGCATGGCAATGCATTATCGCATGTTCCGGTGCTATCAATCAAACTGCGAGCAGGTGAGATTAGTGTGGTAATTAGCGATTAAAACACTGACAGATACACACAACCAGACACAATCTCGCATACATACTCCCAAAAGAATTTAGGGGTTCAGTGTGGGCAGCTGTGCTGTGACGGAGCTCCATCTATACGTGCATTGGATGTACAGCTACCTGCAGAAGTATCGGGAGCCAGAATGTGACATCACTCTAGCCCAGGCACCTCTAAAGTGCATGCGAGGGAGCTGTAAGCAATGCACGTATGGATGGAGCTCGCTCGCGGCCATACCTCTAGCCCACCCCACCTCAAGATGACAGCATATTTTGAATGGCTGCTCGGTATGAGAACTGACAGTACTGCACTAAGGGGGGGGGGCTCTCACCTAGTGCAGTGGAATGCATGCCGCGACCCACTGAAAATGGGGTCGCGACCCACTTTTGGGTCACGACTAGGGCTGCAATAACTAATCGACATAATTGATTATAATCGATTATTGAAAAAGTTGTCAACTTTTTTAAATAATCGATTAATCGGCTTCCGATCAGTTGGCCCTGTTCACGGCTCCACATACGTTGTGCGCTGCACCTCCTCATCACCTCACGCTCACTGCCCGCCCACATCCACGATCGGCACAGGGACGCGGGGAGATGTAGTAAGGAGGAGCAGGTATGGGGAGATGACGGCCACCGATAGACAGGTCCAATCTCAGAAGCAAGTTGCTGGAAGACTGCTCAGGTAAGCCTGCACTTTCCCACACATGGCGCTCTATAATGTATTGCTGGGATTTGTATTCCTCTATAGCTGATGGTACATTGTGCTGTATATTATACAGAGCAATATACCATCAGCTATAGAGGAATACAAATCCCAGCAATACATTATACACTGTATGTATAATGTATTGCTGGGATTTGTTGTAATCCTATATATCTGGTGATATTCTGCCCTGCGCTTTATAGAGGACTACAGATCCCAGCAATAATGTTATACAGCGCAATGCGGAATACCGCCAGCTATAGGGGACTACAAAACCTAGCAACAGTACATTATACAGCGCAATGCAGAATAGCGCCAGCTATAATGTACTATTGCTGGGATTTGTTGTAGTCCTCTATAGCTGGTGGTATTCTGCATTGCGCTGTATAATGTACTATTGCTGGGATTTGTAGTCCTCTATAGTCGGTGCCAATCTGCATTAATTGCTGTATAATTTTACAGTTTCCTTTTCACTATATTGCACACCACATATTTTTTTTTTCTTTTTTACGTCTACCGCTCCAAGCTTGCTCCTGTGATGGAGTGCAATTTCAATACAAACTAGTAGTCCATCACTGGAGCCATTTAAAAAAAATTATTTTATTGTTTAACCGATTAATCAAACTTAATAATCGGCTAATCGATTTTGAAAATAATCGTTAGCTTGATGAGTTCACTAGGAAGAGTTCCGAAGTAATAGGAAAACCTTCTCCTACAGCATTAACCACGTGTGGTTGCACATCACTCAGCATCCATAGCGAGAGCCTGTATCACTCAGATGCCCGTCATGAAGCCGACACAACAGCTGCCCTCCCCTTCCATTTTCTGGCTTTCTTCTGTCCCAACACAACATGGTCATGGCCCCTCCTACTCTCTCCAGGTTCTATCCCCCTCATTGACTGACCGCTAGCCCCGCCTACTACCTCCCCTCTGACACACGCAATGACACGCCCTCCGTACAGACAAGCTAGCTATCCAAACTCGCCTTTCTCATAGGATGCCAATGTCATTCCCGCCCCCATCAACCAGAGCCAGCCCTTCACCCGCCAAGAACCTCCCGTCACTCTGACTTCTCCGCTCAGGCACGTCCTATTCCACGCCTCTATGTGACGTCACCATGTTAAAGCAGCCACCTGAAATCTACAGCGGGCGTGTCATAAACAAGGAAGACTGACTGGTACACACCCTTAGCAATGGATGATCATGAGGAGAGAAGCGGTTCCGGGGCCCCACATGGCCGCTCCAGCCCGCCACCGCAGCCCAGCGATGCGACACCGGCCCGGCTCTTTCTGCAAAGCTTCTCCCGGAGCGCGCCCAGCCAGTTATCACTCACCCAGGGACTGCAGCTCCGCTTCGATCGGAACATCAAGCAAGCGTTCTACAACACGGGGGCGTTGCTCTTCGCAGCCGGCTGCTGTGGGGCTGCTATACTGGTGTACTTTATATTGGAGGCATTTCTGCGGCCACTGCTGTGGGCAGCGCTATGCGGCACCTTCCTGCATCCCTTCAAACACACTTTAACGGGTGCATGCCGTCGTTGGCTTTCCCGGATCCAGCGCCAGGGATCGCCCATTGTCCTGGCCACTCTGCTGTTACCAGTCAGCTTTGTCAACCACAGTCTGGAGGCCTTGGGGGAGCTGGTGGCTCGTAAACTGCCATTGCTGGCCGGGGCGCCTCTTCTCTATGTGCTGTACTGGGCTGGGAGCTACCTGGGGGTGCGGCACATAGTGGGCTACGTGTGCGGCCTGATCTGTGGGGGCCTGGACTACTTCAGCTCCCAGTGGGTGAGTGTTCCATGGAGCGCTGCTATCTTCTATGGCTTAGGAACACTTTCTTATCAGTGGGAATACAGACCTGGAGGTCACTCTCAGGAGTATTCATAGCTTTGCTTGTTGGACCTCAACTTTTTGGTCTGTCCTTTTGGTGTGCTGTTGCGTTGCCATGCAGCACCACAATGTGCATCGTGCTGGAAAAAGTAATGCATGCACTGCTTTTTGTCAGCGCAATGCACTGTATTGTGGTACTATTGCTGGAAAACACTCCTGCCAAAAAGTGTGTTGGGGTGCCATTCAAATAAATGCAATGTGCTGTGGAATAGAAAGTGTTAAATGCATGGATCCTGTGCATTTAGTGGAATGCTATGGTGTGAACAAGCCCTTAAAGTGGACCTTTTACCCCTTTCTCTAAAAGCATATCTGCATACAGCTCTGTGTGTTGATATAAAATCATCTTACATTCATTAGCTAAACAGTTATTTTACTTTTTTATTTTTTCTACTTTCTGGTCCTCGTTGACACAAATGATGGAATCGTGCCCAAGCATTGCATCCTGGGAAGTTAAAGTCAGCAAAGCATTGCTAGGAAATCTCATCTGTATGCCTCATTCACACGAGAATCGGCCAGCACGTACAGCTCCGTGCTGCATGCACGGGCGTATGGAGCAGCTCCCGGGAAGGACAGGTGCTGTGTCTGTTTAGTACGCAGCCCCTGTCCTTCTCTATGGGACTACACAGATGTATGCCACGCTACGCTCACCCGCCCTGCACGTCCGTGCGGGTGTCCATACTCGTAGGCTGACAGGATCGATCCTGTCTGCGTCCGAGCCGGGACACCTTTACGGACGTGCAGGAGGATCAGCATAGGGCGGCGTACGCCTGCGTAGTCCCGTAGAGAGGGACGGGCTGCGTAATAATCGCACGCTGCCCCTGTCCTTCCCGGGAGCTGCCCGGCTGATTCCTCGTGTGAATGAGGCCGTAATCTTATTAAATCTCAGGGAAAGGCATTTTCCTCCCCTGAGATGTGCATGGTCACATGTGCTAGAGTTCCAGGAAGGAAAGGGAGATCTAAAAACCCGCCGTTAGCAAAAATGGCCACTGTTAGAAGAATGGGGAGGAAAATAAAAAGTAGTTGTTTGTAGATTGTCATTACTAAACATTTCTAAAGGTGTGTTTTGTTTTTTCAAGATAAGGGTAAAGTTTCTCTTTAGAACATTGGTTCTCGACCTGTATAACCTCAGGACCCACATTTGGCCTTGGTCATTAAGACACGACCCAAGTTGCACCACACTGGAACGCATGGCAATGCATTATCGCATGTTCCGGTGCTATCAATCAAACTGCGAGCAGGTGAGATTAGTGTGGTAATTAGCGATTAAAACACTGACAGATACACACAACCAGACACAATCTCGCATACATACTCCCAAAAGAATTTAGGGGTTCAGTGTGGGCAGCTGTGCTGTGACGGAGCTCCATCTATACGTGCATTGGATGTACAGCTACCTGCAGAAGTATCGGGAGCCAGAATGTGACATCACTCTAGCCCAGGCACCTCTAAAGTGCATGCGAGGGAGCTGTAAGCAATGCACGTATGGATGGAGCTCGCTCGCGGCCATACCTCTAGCCCACCCCACCTCAAGATGACAGCATATTTTGAATGGCTGCTCGGTATGAGAACTGACAGTACTGCACTAAGGGGGGGGGGCGATCACGTCCTAGTGCAGTGGAATGCATGCCGCGACCCACTGAAAATGGGGTCGCGACCCACTTTTGGGTCACGACTAGGGCTGCAATAACTAATCGACATAATTGATTATAATCGATTATTGAAAAAGTTGTCAACTTTTTTAAATAATCGATTAATCGGCTTCCGATCAGTTGGCCCTGTTCACGGCTCCACATACGTTGTGCGCTGCACCTCCTCATCACCTCACGCTCACTGCCCGCCCACATCCACGATCGGCACAGGGACGCGGGGAGATGTAGTAAGGAGGAGCAGGTATGGGGAGATGACGGCCACCGATAGACAGGTCCAATCTCAGAAGCAAGTTGCTGGAAGACTGCTCAGGTAAGCCTGCACTTTCCCACACATGGCGCTCTATAATGTATTGCTGGGATTTGTATTCCTCTATAGCTGATGGTACATTGTGCTGTATATTATACAGAGCAATATACCATCAGCTATAGAGGAATACAAATCCCAGCAATACATTATACACTGTATGTATAATGTATTGCTGGGATTTGTTGTAATCCTATATATCTGGTGATATTCTGCACTGCGCTTTATAGAGGACTACAGATCCCAGCAATAATGTTATACAGCGCAATGCGGAATACCGCCAGCTATAGGGGACTACAAAACCTAGCAACAGTACATTATACAGCGCAATGCAGAATAGCGCCAGCTATAATGTACTATTGCTGGGATTTGTTGTAGTCCTCTATAGCTGGTGGTATTCTGCATTGCGCTGTATAATGTACTATTGCTGGGATTTGTAGTCCTCTATAGTCGGTGCCAATCTGCATTAATTGCTGTATAATTTTACAGTTTCCTTTTCACTATATTGCACACCACATATTTTTTTTTTCTTTTTTACGTCTACCGCTCCAAGCTTGCTCCTGTGATGGAGTGCAATTTCAATACAAACTAGTAGTCCATCACTGGAGCCATTTAAAAAAAATTATTTTATTGTTTAACCGATTAATCAAACTTAATAATCGGCTAATCGATTTTGAAAATAATCGTTAGCTGCAGCTCTAGTCACGACCCACCAGTTGAGAACCACGGCTTTAGAGCATCTTTGTTAAATCTTAAAGCTGAACTCCTTTTCATTTAAGTATATTCCTCAACAGCCACAAAGGATATACACTCTGGCCACTTTATTAGGTACACCTTGCTAGTACCCGGTTGGACCCCTTTGGTCTTCAGAACTGCTTTCAGTCTTTGTGACATTGATTCAACAAGGTGCTGGAAACGTTTCGTTCATACTGACATGACAGCAGCACACAGTTGCTGAAGATTTGTCGGCTGCACATCCATGATGCGAAGCTCCACTAGCCTGAACCATTGCTACAAGGCAGGATGGATCCATGCTTTTATGTTGTTTACATCAAATTCTGACCTGACCATCCGAATGCTGCAACAGAAATCGAGACTCATCAGACCAGGCAACGTTTTTGCAATCTTCTATTTTATAATTTTGGTGAGCCCTTGCAAACGGTAGCCTCAGTTTCCCGTTCTTAGCTGACAGAAGTGGCACTCAGTGTGGTCTTCTGTGGCTGTAGCACATCTGCTTCAAGGTTCAATGTGTTATGTGTTCGGAGATGCTCTTCTGCATACCTCAGATGTAACTAGCTTGAACTAGCTATCAGCTTGAACCAGTCTGCCCATTCTCCTCTGGCATCAACAAGATATTCTTGCCTAGAGAGCTGCAGCTCACTGGATATTCTCTCTTTTTCAGACCATTCTCTGTAAACCCTAAAGATGGTTGTGTATGAAAATCCCAGTAGATCAGCAGTTCTGAAATTGCAGCAGCTGAAATACTCAAACCAGCCCATCTGTCACCAACAACCATGCCATGTTCAAAATCACTTAAATCACCTTTCTTACCCATTCTGATGGTCGGTTTGAACTTCAGAAGACCATCTTGATCATGTGTACATGCCTAAATGTATTGAGTTACTGCCCTGTGATTTAGCTGATTTAGATATTTGTGTTAAGCAGTTGAAGAGGTGTACCTAATAAAGTGGTCAGTGAGTGTAAATCTACTTTTGTATGCACCAGAAGTCATCTTTATAAAAATAGCAGTGGTATCATCACTGTGCAGCACATATCCTGAGCAGAGGGAGCACACAGGCCCAACCCACTACAGGACAGGGCACAGACTAGACCAGTCACCCTGCAGAAGGAGAGAGAGCGCAACAGTGACTGGTCTTTATTACAGGAAGTTCCTGCATAAAGGAAAAGCTTCACAGTGGATTATTTATCAGGTCTGGAAGAAATACACAAAGCACACCGATGTTCAAGTTAAAACACACAGCTCTTGTATTTAGACAATATTTAATTATCCCAGAGTTCAGCTTTAAAGGCACCACCATCACGTGAAGTATTGAGAACAGGCATTGTGAAATAAATGTATTCTCAAATCACAGCGCTAGCAAACTAATACTGGTCCCTATGTGCTACACTCTAAACCAATAGATATGCGTGATCATAATTATGATAAATAATGTGAAAGACAACAAAAAAATGTCCACAATGTGCTCACAAAAACCTTTTGTGAAAAAAATAAACCAGTGTTTTAAATTCTATGCCAGTTTTCAGATAATCTTCAGAACGTTTCTCAGCATTCCATCAGTTCTAGTGAATCCCAACCTGCCCCTTCAGATATGGCTCTCACCGGAAAAAATGTGACTGAGTATAAATATACTTCGGTTATAGCAAACGGTCCATGTTGATGTTATCTCTCAGATGACTTCTCACCACACAGACAGGGTGAATCGCATCAGTGTTGAAATGGTGACTTTTTCAATATTTCCTCATGAACAGAACAGTAAAAGGTCATAACATAAAACCATTAAACAAATCATTTAAAACCAGTACACTTACATTTAAATAGGATAAATCTGCATAATATCTCCCACAACTTCCAAGTGAAACTCCACTCAGCAGTCTGAACAGGAGTGAAACATCATAAAAAAAGATCCCCAGCGTTTCCTCACTTCTGGACTTTTTCAAGAGCGATTAAATTCATGAGAACATGCAGATAGTCTTCTGGACAGGGTTTGAACCAAGCACCTCAGTCCTGGAAGGCAGAAGTGCTAACCACTGAGCCACATTCAGAATTTGCTCTTGAAAAAGTTCAGAAGTGATGAAGCGTGCGGAGTCTGTTTTTTTTTCCACGTGCAGACAATGTAGGGATCAGCAAATTAAACCATAGAGCGCAGCAGAGGATTAACAGGGTTGTTCACTAGAGGGTGAAGAGTTTGGAGAAGGCAGGAGAAGTGAACAATCTAAGACAGCATTGCCGATTTAAATTTTTTTTCCAGTTCAGCTATGTTGTCCTAGATTGTTCACTTTGCTGCCTTCTCCAGACTCTTCAAGCTCTTGGATGTGTTAACTGGGGATCTGCTTGAAGAACTACAGTGACGGAAGAATTTCAGCATCCAACACATTTCTGGAAGCCTGGTGTCCCGTTGAGCACTGTGGTTTGATCCATTTGCCCTTATTGTGATCTAGGGGCTCAAACTGCAGAGGGGGACCAAGAATCTGGCACTCTCAGAAATGTTGGGTGTTGAAGATTCTTCATGATAGAGATTGGCAACAGGACAGATAAATATTAAGGCCCCACTCACACCTAGGCATTTTGACGCTCAAAGATAAGCACTCAACACAAGAAGTCCCATTTAGTTTTAAAGGCCCCTGTTCACACCTGAACCTTTTGTCACAAGCTGTAAAATGCAGAATGATGGAAAAAGTACATGAGCTTCTTTTTGGCAGATTACAGTGCTTTTACCCCCATAGACTTCAATTGAAGCACCTGGAAACACACGACACAAGTGGTGCATTTTTGCATGTTTTTACACGCAAAGGCTCAATTTGCCAGCTAAAGTGTTGCGTGTTCATGTGCACACGTCTAACGTGTGCAGAGACATGCTAGACACACTAGATATGTTAGACGAAAGTGCGTGCCAATATACGTGAAAACACGGACGCCTAGGTGTGAATGCGGGCTAAAAGCTAAATAAACCTTTAGTGCAGTTACTTATATTTTACCTTTTCTGATCTCAGCCTCTCTTTGCAAGTCTTATGCTTAAACTCCTGTGGACTCGCAATTTGTACACAAACAGCTGGTAGGCTGCCCATTTGTTCTGGAAGGACATACCTGTATGTCCTCCCGTGCTTGTGTGTGTGGAGACAGAAGGCACTGCTCCTGTTGTCAGTACAGTGGAGAGCAGAAGCTTTAGGTATAGTGCTGATTGGACTGGCTTTGTGTCTTGTAATCGCTGGCATTGGTTATCACTTTGATCACATGTAATGTTCACATTGCCAAGCCCTCCCCTTTTCTCTTACAACAGAGGCAAGGGAACTAAAGGAATTAAGGAATGAAGAGGAGAGAGACACTGACTGGTGCTTGTTGAAAGGAGGATGACATCACCTTCACCTAAGTTGCATGCAGGAGAGAAGGGGGTTACACTGAAAAAATCAGACATTGCTATTTAGGTGCAAAGTCTGATTTAGGCAGATATTTGAAGGACAAGCAGTCATTATTTATCAGCTGTTTGTAGTTAGTGTTACAAAATTCATGCAATGCAAGACTTTACAATTTAGTGATAAAGTTATTTTTAGAAACAGGTGATATAAGAATGTGAGTAATAGTAATAGTGTGAGTAAGTACTGCACTCTTGTAAACCAATAACAGGGTTCAGTGGCTTAGCTATACGTTTAGAATAACTCCTTGGGGTACAGCTGTGAACCAGATTCCGGAATGCTTGTCATGGTGCTCCCCACCATGTTATGGTAATTAGGTAACTTCCACCTCTTTTGGAGCACACTGAAAATTATGTGCTGCTAATGAGGTGACTGGCAACAAATAGTTTAACCTTTTAAATGCCAAGAAAATAAAATCACGTGTGTGGCTTTTTTGTGTATCTTAGGTGTTGGTAATGGGGTGAAAACCAGAGGTCTGAGATGCATTTTGGGGCCATAGGATTTAAATTATGCCCTTCATTGATACAATATGTCCAGTAAATTCTAGAAGTCCTTGGGTAGGCAGTAGGTAAAGTATGTATCATCAACTATGTGAGTTCATACAGTAAATACTTGTCCACTTAGCATAGCATCCCTGTGGTTAGCATACACTGACAAAATGGCTCCTCTGGGGCAGTACCTGTGAAAAAGGCTAGAAAAAGAATAGAAAATTGAAAGTGCAATTGAAGCCAAAACTATTTTTTTTTTTTTATGTACTTTTGGATGAGTAGAGAGAGGTTTCAACACCTGTCAGGTTTTTATTGCTGTCGGTGTCCTTGTTAGTGAGAGTCAAACCTCTCTATTTGTCCTAGTGACTAAAAGTGAAAGTAAAAGAAAAATCCAAACTTGTGGGTTGTCATCAGAACAGAAATAGTGGGGAACTTCGATGGGGACACTAGTTCTGGTGACCCTGCTGACCACCAGGTATTTCCCTAATTTTGGAGGGATTTCTTCTGACTTCCTGTTGTGGCTATTGGACAGGAAGTGAAAGGAAATGTCCCCAATGGCACACAGGTGCCAGAAAAAAAATCTGACAGAGGTTATACGCTATCCAAAACTAAAAAGGTTTGGGTTCACTTCTACTTTAAACTTTCTCCTTGTTGGTTAATTCCGAAAGGGACAAAGAACCTGCTGGGTAACGCTGACAGAATGCCCAGGAATTCCTGCATATTAAGTTAAACATAATCCATTTTTGCTATGTTTACTGCATACCCCATTGGAAGTTTTGCATATAAGATTGACAGCATACTTGGAAACCTTCGTGCAGCACCTTTAAAAATGTGCAACTACAAAGCAGATCCTAAATAAAGTTTATTTTTTCAACCATCCTCTGTGTCATTTTAAATTATTTAATTTGGGTGCTGCCTGCTCATGTTTTATTTCGATTGAGGTAGGAGAGTGAAAGGGTTCTTCGCACAAGAGGTGCATTTTTAGGGCTATTCACACTGGATACATTGCATTGCAATCCATTGCGTTGCGATACATTTTTAAACAGATTCTAACGGAGGGGCACTGAAAAATGAATGGGTTAGAATGAGGCCAGTTCACACTGCTCCGTTCCGTTGTGTTACGTTACATTGCGGTGAAACTTTTTTTCCAACGTAACACAATGGATCCGGTGTGAACTTGCCCTAGTCACACCCATTCATTTTTCACACGTCCCGGGATCGCTCACATCTGAAACTAGCCTAAAGAGGATCATAGTGAAGCTTTGTCAATACTGCTGCCTCAATCTGGACTCCAGATGTTTTAAGATAAGACCGTTTTCTGGAATAATAAATTAACATCCCTGGACTTTTTAGCAATAAGCAATAAATAAACCTTAGCTACCCTTTGATATTATATGAATGGTCTAATATAATTGAATAGTGCATTTATACATGCAAAGGAAAGGGGAAGGGTCTCTATGTCCTTCTTTTTTTAAATGAACATGTAATCACTGTTTTGTTTGAATGTGTGCTGTGATGTAGCAATTATGAAAAGTGTAACAGAGTATGCTATAGAGCAGTTCTTCTTAAGAAGAGGAGAAAGAAGAGGAGAGAGACACTGAACGACGTTGGGGACCCTACTGGGAGGTAGAGGGCCCACTCTAACCAAACAGCTGGTTAGGTATATCTCTGCTTGCCACAGTTCATGTTTTAGATTGGAGTTCCGCCATTCTAGTGCTACATCCAAACCCAGACTGTTCGTGAACCACTCGGAACCATGGTCTATAATTGCATGAACAGCCTGAAAATGCAAATCACTAGTTTCAAAAATAAAAAAGGTACCAGAAATTAACTGTGCTTAGTGGAAACCACAGTGGGAGACTAATTCCTCCACCCCACCCCACAGTCCCTTTCCTTATTATCCTGTTTGCAAAGTTGTTGCTCATATCTTAAGCCCCATCTAGCCTCTATTGGTGTGTCAACAAAAACTACACCACAAGAGCAAATCCTGAACCATGTTGTCATCTACTGATGTTGAAATGGCCTTTGATCAAATTTATTGTCTTTTGCAAACTATTGGTTCCTTGCTGTTTTCATACTATGTATGTAAATCACTGTTTTTGGTTCTGTGATGGACGTAAGGCAGTTGGTGTTTGTACTATTTTTGTACTATTTTTGTACTTTTGTTGAACCTGAGAAAAATTTGATAAAAAGTATCTGATTAAAAATAAAAAGGCCTTGGAATGGATAAACTGGACATTGAAAGCCTGAAAGCCACTCTGTGATATACTGTATAGGTACATTTGGTACACATGTGCTTTGCAGTGATTGTATGGATAGCATAAAGGTTCATATGGTTTAGTTGATCAGGGGGAAGCTGTAACTGACACAGTGGAATTTATAGATTTACTGCATATAGAATCTTTTTGTACCTTTTTTTTTTTTATATCATGTATTGTAATTTGTTTTCCCCCCAGATCTGGACCCTGGTCATTGGGTATATACTGGCAGTTTCATTCAGGTGGAATGTAGCTACCCAGCGATATCTAACTGCCATTTCAATTCCTATTTGGGTCATTCTACTTTTTCACTTCGGTATGTAGCTTTCTAGTGTTGTTATTTATGTATTATTGGGACGCTCTAGCAGAACAACTGCAGTATGTGGTGAAAACCGCTTATAATACCACTTGTCTTGTGCCTATGTTATATTGGCTGATTTCACTCTAAACCATGTATGGTCTATACAGTATATGTGAGCTGATAGAGTTATTAAGATGTAATTGGTATTGAAGTGGATATCAGCAGCTTGAAATCAATGTATGCGACTTTTCTATATTTCTTAATATGTTTTTACCTGGGTTTATTATTTCTAATAAATTAAATTGATTTTAATATTCATGTAGTTGTCTGGCACTTTGAAAGTCCCAACTCCGAATTGGAGGTTTGTACTTGGAAATTCTGAGGTATGCGGTGCTTCGGTCAAATTAATCAGATTTATAATCTATCTAAAGAATGCAAATTAATATAGCCATATATGCCCCTGACTCCCACAATTTAATTCTCAGTGTCTGAGCATTCAATTACCAGGTATAATCACTTTTTAAAAGGGGGACAGTTTGCCTAGCCACATACAAAACAGAGTTCTTAAAAGCTAGCATTTCACCAATCATCTTCCAGGACAGCAACCTGAGAGATGATTGGCTCTTCAGTCTACAGGAAACACAATCAGACAAGGTTAAAAACCCCTCCCACCCCCCTCGTCCCTAGGTTTTTAAGTACAATAAGGTTTTATTAATGGTTTTACAAGGTATACAGTATAGGCTTGACATACAAAAATCAAAGTTGCTGTACAACAGTACTTGAAACACAAAAGATCCACAAGCTAGGACACAGTCAAGACTACACATCCTCGTTTTCTTTTTTTTTTTTCCGACAGGGTTAAAAGTAAACCTGCCGCTCCGTGTGCACAGTGAGAGGGTATAGCAGTCTTCCCCTCTCACCTGTAACAGAAGTTCCAGCACAGTGCTGTGCTAGGACTCCTGTATTGGAGGTGACAGGGTCGATAAAGAGAACCTGTCACCTCCAATTGCTATTACACAGGTGGCTTGTTACCTCTGTGTGATAGCAATGAAGTTAAGTGGGAAAAAAATCGATAAAAAAATTATTAAAGAAATAAAAATAAAAGAATTTTAAAAATAAAAAAGCGATTAAAAAGAAAAGAAGAAACAAATTATTAGAAAATAAGAAAAATATAAAAAACAGACAATAATAAGGTGAGATCCTCCCTCAGCCCTCTCCTAGCGCAGCAGTGTCATTTCTCCCGCCACATCGCCAGATGTCGCTGCAGCAGCCGTGTCATCCCTAAATTTTACCGTTGGGGGGTCACCACAACTTGGCAAATGTTACCAAGGGGTCCCGGCCCTAGAGAGGTTGAGAACCACTGGTCTAGAATAAAGGATGAGCTTGATCCGTGGGGGTCCCACTGTGCTGTGCCGCTTGTGCGGCTTGAGGTACCGACCCTCCAGATGGGGATGCTTCGGGAGGCCGTATCCAGTTGAGGGCGTATAAGCCCTGTCCGGTGGCTACTGTGTCCAAACTAACTTGCAGAAGGGAACCTTCCATCAGGGCAGACCATGTGCTAAAACAGAAAAGGTAAATAACAAAGGAAGGATGCCACCAAGGCTGAAAGAGCGAGCAAAACAAAGAAACAGGGGAGAGAGCAGATGGAGAACCAGAGGAAGGAAGAAGGGTAGGGAAGCTAAGTAGAGAGGAGAGAAGATAAGAAGGAGCTGAGTACAGAGGGAGGTCAGTACTCAGAGGAGCCCAGGCGGGCCCCCCCCCCGTCAGAGCATCATGGGCCTCCAGGAGGCACTCATAATGCCTAAGAGAGGACCCCAGCCGAGAATGTAGCTGAGGCTCGGAAGTCTAGCCATACGGACCATGTGACAGTGTACCTATCTCTGGTGTCATGCTCAGCCGCTCCAGGTCCGCAATACGGTCCACTTCCACAGTCCACTCCACCAAGGTAGGGAGCACAGGTGTACGCCAGTGCCGGGGAATAACTGCCCTTGCGGCTGTGAGAAAGTGCCGCAGGAGGCCCCTCTTTACGGACTTTAGGGAACTTGGTACCATGATTAGCAATGCAATCCGGGGGTCGTTGGGAATCACTGTACCTGTCACTTGGTGATGGACATCTAACACTGCCTGCCAGAACTCTTTAATAGGAGGGCAACTCCACCAAATATGTGTCATATGGCTTGGAGAAGCCTGACAACGCCAGCAGGAGTCCGGGACCTGTGGTTAAAACCGGTGGAGCACCGCTGGGCACCTATACCACCTGGTCAGAATTCTCAGATTTTTTTCGTGTGCCTTGCAGGCAATAGAGTGAGTGAGAAAGGACAAAGGATTTCTCCCAGTCTGACTCCTCGATGGGAAGTCCCAGTTCTTGTTCCCACACCGAGACATAGCTCTGAGGCTCTGAGGAAGGGCAGGAGGAAAGAAGAGAGTAGAGTAGCGAGACAGTATGTCTTGGAAGAGAGGACTGCAGAAGGAGGGAGTCAAAGGCCGTACGGGCTGCTTCCAAAAGGAGACAAAAGAACAAAATTGTCTGTCAACCATTCGTCACTGGATGAGCGAATTACTGTGGAGTCCCGGACAGCCACCACTAAACGCCTGTGGGAGTCCTTGGTCCATCTACCGAATGAGGAACAGTGGGGGAACGCTGGGTTAAGACCAGGAAAGAGGATGACGGGGCACAAGACTTTGGGAGGATCCAAGGCAGGGCCTGCAGATCGGATCCTGCAAGCACCCCTTCAAGTTGAACCCATTGCTTGTCATCTATTCTATGAAAGCTGCATGGTAAAGGCGTATATCCGGCACCACCCTTACGATTAGGCAAAGACAGGGTTTTGTAATTCACACGGGGGCGGGAGGAGCCCCAAATGAACTTCGTAAATAATTGGCGTAGTTTCTTAAAGAAAGAAGGAGGGAGGATCGGTAAAACCTGAAAGAGGTATAGGAATCTGGGGATCACGTCCATTTTGAGAGTATGGATCCTTCCCAGCCAGGAGATGTTCTTACGATCATACGCGGATAGATCCAGAGCAGTTCGCTGGAGGAGGGGGATAATTGAGGGCAAAGAGCTGAGAAATGTCTGAAGAGAGATGGATTCCCAGATATTTTACTGAGGCTTGGCAGATGCGAAATGGAAAGTTAGTTCGAAGCTGGGATAGCCTGTCCTCATCCAAGGATACATTCAGGATCTCTGCTTTCGTGAGGTTCAACTTGAAGTTGCTAAGCGAACCAAAGCAGGAGAACTCCTGGAGAATGGATGGCATGGAGGTATGGGGATGGGTGACATAGATCAACAGGTCATCTGCAAAGAGAGCTAATTTGGGCTGAAAAGGCCCCACTGACAGACCCGGTATCGCCAAATTCCTGCGAAGTGCCACCGCCAGGTGTTCCATAGTTAGTACATAGAGCAATGGAGATAGTGGGCTTCCCTGTCTGGTACCATTGGAGATCTTAAACCGTGGGGAAAGAGAGCCATTGATGCGGACCTGAGCAGTCGGGTTAGAATAAAGCGCCATAATGTTGCGTAAGAGCTGTGGCCGAACTCCTACCTGCAACAGGGAGTGTTGAAGAAAGTGCCAACTGAGTCGGTCGAAAGCCTTATCGGCGTCGACCGACAGGAGACACAAGGGGGTTTTGGAAGTCTCGGGGCGTGTTGCATGAGCAGGACAGTTTTGATGGTATTGTCCCTGGCCTCCCACCCCCACACAAACCCAACCTGGTCAGAGTGACTCAAGCTGGGAAGTATAGGCTGGAGGCGATTGGCTATCAATTTGGAAAAATAATTCAGATCAACGTTGATGAGCGAGATGGTGCGATAATTAGTACAAAGGGTGTGATCCTTCTCAGGTTTAGGGATCAGGGAAATATGTGCCTCCAATGCCTGAGCTGGAAAAGCAGATCCTAATGCGATAGAGTTAAAGACCCTCAGGAGAAGTGGCGATAAGAGATCCTGATATTGTTTGTAAAACTTGGCAGAAAACGCATCCGGTCCCGGGCTCTTGCCTGCCGGCATATACCTCAGGACACAGTGGAGTTCATCCATGGTGAAAGGGGATTCCAAGTCCTCGGCCACCGAGTCTTCCAGAGTAGTATCCCGTATATAGGAGGACAAACGGGTCTCCCGATCCTGGGCATTCGGGTCGCTCTCTGGGATGTTATATAAAGACTCATAGAACTCACTAAATGCCTTCTGTATCGCCGAGGGCGATTGAACCATGATATCTGGAGATGTTCGGATCTGTGGTATGAAAGTAAGAGCGGATCTAGGGTGTAGGGTCCTATTGCATTTATCCCTGAATTCATATGCTCGAAATGGCAACTTGTCGGCATATCGGCGGGTCGAGAGATTCAGAAGTCCCAACAGCCGCTGCCTAGTCTGTGAGAGTTGGAGCAAAACCTCTGGATCAGGAGAGCCTTTGTGGCGCGTTTTCCAGATCCCTAAGAGACTGAAATGTGTCGCGTATGGACTGAGAACGTTCCCGCTTCAGCCTTGAGCCGTGTTGGATCAGGGTACCCCGGAGGACCACCTCAAGGGCTTCCCACTGGGTCGGTAGGGGGGTAGGGTTGTGCTCATGGATCTCCAAGAACCGCCGAATCTCCAGGGAGAGTGCCGCAGCACACACCGGGTCGGCTAGGAGTGCGGGATCTGCAAAGAGAGCGTGACTGAGGCATGGTCGGACCACACCGCGGGGTCTATGTCGCAATTAGGGAACCAATCCACGACCGAATGGGAAACAAAAATGTAGTCAAGCCTACTGTAAGACCGATGGGGCGCAGAGTAATGGGTATAGTCACAAGTCAAGGGATGAAGAACCCTCCAGATATCTACCAATTGAAGGTCAGGGATGTGTTTCTTGAGTATACGTAGTTTGGAGAAGGATAGTGTGGAACGAACCATCGAGGAGTCTAGACCGGGTTCCAGCGTAAGATTAAAGTGCCCCCCGACAAGGACCGTACCCTCCGCAAAGCATATTAGTCTGCTAATATTTTCAGGTATCGGACAGGGGCCGTGATTTGGATAG